GTAATAAAATTTTATATATACGTATATGTATATATGTATAAAATCTGGTGACTTAAGTAGAATAATTCATGGAAAAATGAGATTTGAACAGGGCATTGAAGACTTGGCCCAAGGAGATGGGTGTGTAGACACACACACACACACACACACATGTGCACACATGCAAACTTGATTCATCTGTCCTGTAACCAAGTTTCCTTACCCTCAAAGCAGTGGTAAGTGGTAAGCAGGTTAGTTGGTTTAATCAAATTCTTCCTTGAATACACAGAGCCTTTCTCTGTGTGACTCAGTAACATGCTCCTCCAACATTTCTTCAGTGGCCACTGATATTCCAACTTCTGCATTCATTCTTTTCTCTAGAGATACTCCCTGCACTACTTCTTGTCCTTCCCATGGTTCTAGCCTGTGATCCAACTGAGAGTTGAAGATTTATTTATTTATTTGAGAGAGAAGGAAAGAATGGGGCGGGGGGAAGAGGGAGTGGGCGCATAAGCCGGAGGGACCGAGGAGAGGGAGAGAGAGAATCTCAAGCAGACTCCATGCTGAGTGTGGAGCCGCACTCAGGGCTCCATCTCACCACCCTAAGATCACGAGCTGAGCCCAAACCAAGAGTCCCAGCTTAACTGGCTGAGGCATCAGGATGCCCCAACAGTTGATCATTTTTGAATATTATCCTGACTCCTTAAATTCAACATGTTGAAAATTTAATAAATTATACTGTGTATCCTCTCAACCCACTAACTGGAGCTGCTTGCCCCTGTGTCTGTGTTTACTGTTACTCTCACTGATATCCTTTGTCTTAAAATTCTATTTCTCAACTACCACTCCCTTCTTTGAAGCTCCCCTCCAGTGCCCTAGGGTTATCCTAGCAAGTCTCTGAGCCCTGTCCTTGGGGTCCACAAAGAATCCTTTGACTTGTGTTTGGTCACCAGCTTTTAGCCTCTGCCTCCACCCCCACCTCCCATCCCTAGACTGGTATCTTTGTTATTATCATCCATAATTCACTAAGGACTTAAGGTATTTTGAGTCAAATGTCACCAAGCCGGCTTAACAGTAGGATAGAGAGCCCAAAGAAGATAAAGAAGAGGATTCAACAACAGAGTGTCTGAGGCCTTAGAAAAGAAAACATGAAGTATTTTGTGCTGAAACTAGGGAGCAAGAACAGGGAGCTTTTTCTCGTGTTATTTTAATCCCTGGTCAGGGACACTTTTCATTAGGTGTGTGCTTGCTGTGGATCCTGGACATTTGCTGAGGTTCTGGCCATCTTTAGTAGAGAAGCTGCATTTCGTCCATGCCTCCTTAGTCCCATGGTCAGTGGGTAATGTTTTTCCAATTTATTTAGCTAATACCTATTACACATCTAATGGTGATACTCCGTTCCTTGTTATAACAGATTAACTCATGGAATAAAAGTGAGGAGTTCAAGAATACGCCTTCTTTGCCCCAAATTATTTTCCCACAGCCACTTCCCAATGCCCAATGCAATATTACCCTAATACAATATGTAATAGACAGTTTCACGGACTAGCCTGCATTTGGATTGTTGACATTTCCCATGTCTTAGTCTTTTCCTCTACGAAACAAAATCTCTCTGTTGTTAGCACAATAACTGAATGGTTAAAAAAAAAACAAAAAACAACTTTTAACTTAAGCATATTTTTTTCCATTGGACTTTGGTTGCTGATTAAAGCATTTAGCAATATAATTAAAAGTAATTTAAATAGCTAATTAGATAATGTGATAGTTTCCAGTAATACATTCCTTTAAACAAAGCATCCATCATTTAGGAGTGAAATTTATCACTGGGTTACTGATACAAATGCAATTATATGTTAAATGGAAGAAAGCATCCACAAATCAACTCTGGCTGTCTGTAAAAATTGCCATATACATAACTTTTGCATAATTCTTACAGGGTCAAAAGAGATACATGGAAAATTTTGGCCTCCACATTTTAGCTGACTTTGCAACTGTCGAGGGTCTGGTTCTAAATCATATTTTTGACAGTTAAGAACCAGAATAAAGCTTTCTCTACATACACATGTTTTGACAAAAATTGACTGATGAATTTAATTAACCAAATTGTCCACTTAGTCAAACAAATGCTTTAATTGTATGATTTGCTTATTTGTTTTGTTTCCTTGTTAAATTAACTTGCTTTTTAACTTAATTTAACTTAATTGTTTAAGTTAAAATATAGCCAGATCAATTCAATGTTTGGAAGCAGTTTCAATGTTATTTTTAAAATAGTTATACCAAAGTTAAGAAACAAATTGCCTTTTAGCAAATGCTAAAAAAGTTCCTGGAAAATTCTGATTTCAAAAAGCTTTTATTAAAACCAAAAATAAAAACCAAAGAAACAAAAACAACCTCTATGATTCCATACCTAAGTCATGAAACTGGATCCCTAATTTGGAATATTTTTATTATTCAATGATTCCATTATGTAAAATACTAAATACATTAATGAAAATGTCTTTATCCTTGGAAACTGAAGTCTCACTTTTTTTTTAGAAACCTCACTATTAAAAAGGATGTCATGTTTAAACAACCGTCTCATTTCAGAATGATAGATAAACAAGGATATTTTATTTTATTTTAGGAAAAATAGAAATGCATATTTCAGAAATTCAGTGTCTCTCTATTGGCGGAATACCCTGTCAAAATGTTGACTCGAGAGCAAACTTTAAAAATAATGTTACAACCAACCTCTAATTATGTTAACTCTCTGATGAATGCTGTGGATGTGCTAGATTCTTCTGTGTGTGTATGTGTGAGAGAGAGAGAGTGACAGAGCAAACAAGGTGTTGAATAACAACCAGAATGGAATTACCTGTACGTGCTGCTTGAGAACTTTAAGGGACCTGCTCAGAAGTTATGCATGCGGTGTATGATGCCATTGTAGCTTTTCTGAAACATTACAGAAATGACGTAAAAACTAATATCGTTCCCAATTTTGAAATAATCGTATGATTTCACAAACCAAATCATATTTTTTTTAAAGATTATTTATTTAAGAGAAAGAGTGAGCGAGAGAGCATGAGCATGAGGCAGGAGCAGAGGGAGAGGGAGAAGCAGACTCCCCGCTGAGCAGGGAGCCCGATGTGGGGCTCAATCCCAGGACTCCGGGATCATGACCCGAGTGGAAGGCAGTTGCTTAACTGACTGAGCCACCCAGGCGTCCCCCAAATCAGTATTTCTTTTAAGTTTTAAGTGAAAATACTTAGAGTAATAAAATTTTTCTTTCTCTACCTCCACTCATTGTTTGTCTCCTCCCTTCTTTTATTTTCACATTTCATGCTTTGTAAAAAAGCTACAGGAAAAGTTGCATATATTTATTTAAATACATATTTTTGTATATGTACACATTAGTGAATTAATCAAATATTAATGCATATTTATAGCTATCATGTATGGCTCTCTATAATTATTTCTATTATGTGGAAATCAACTTATTAGATGATTGGTAAACAATTTAGAATTTCAATTATATGCTTTTAAAAGAAAACTTGAGTTTTTACAATTAAACATTTGACTTTCTTCCAATAATGTACTGATTATGTTCACAGTCTTGGAGTGGGAAACGTAAACTTGACATGAAAAAATGGGTAATTCCCTGTGTAGAAATGAAATATATATGTTCAGCAAACATCTAAAATCAAACAACAAACTAAAAGAACATATTTGCCACAAATATAAAGGACCAATTTTTTTTTAATTTTCTTGTTATACAAAAAACTTTTACAATAGTGAACCATGTATAAATGTGAGGAGGCAATTCATAAATAAAAGGAATTTGAACGGTTGATAAACATGACAATATATTCCATTGTACAAATAGAATACTGCAAAATTTGTAAAAAGGATATCGTATCATTATTTGTCTATCACATTGGCAAAATTTAAAGGAATTGGTAATATGTTGTTTTGAAATGAAAAGTGCTGCTGGTAGAACCGTGCATGTTTACTAAGTTTTTTGGATATCTAGTTGTTGATTTTTGCCAAACTTGAAATATATTTCCCCTTTGATCCATCAATTTCATTTATAAAAACATACATAAAATACATTTGGATAATTATATTTTTCCTAAAATATTATAGCTAAGGTACACAAATATGTTTATACTTCTTTACAGTATTATGACAAAAACACATGGACATTCCCAAATGCCCATCAACATAAGATCAATTATATAATGTTTATAGGTATATAAAATGCAGCTATTAAAATGAGGACTACAATACAGAAATGAAAAGAGATATTCATTAAAATAATGAATAAAATAAATCAAGGTATCAAACAACATGTGTAGTATAATACTACCTGAATAAAATATAAAGAAGGGTAGGAGGAAACATATAATGTTTATTTGTTTTTCTGTAGAAAATTCTAATAGGAAGGTCACCACAATACTATCTGGTTATCTCTTGACAGTGAGGGTAAGTGTGTGGAGAGAGCTGAAGGAAAATTTAGTTTTTCTCCATATAAATCTCTACTTTCCTAAAGAACACTTATTATCAGTATAATTAAATTATAAAGTATAGTGATTATATTATTTTTTACTGAAAAATGAAATCATGTTTTAAAATTGAAATAGAATACTTAAGGTTATATAAACTCAACAAAAATGCAATTTTTGGTAATAGTTTCCATAAAACAAAATAACACAAGACACACGTATGATACCCCTGAGGTTTACCTGAGAATCTTTCTCCATAGACTTTAGCTCACATACCAGCCAAATTTTTAGAAAATCCGAGTGTTCTTTATAAGAAAACTGTATTAGATAAAGTTTTATGAAATAGCTGTTATTCTTAGATTTTTAAAAGTACTCTAAAGTTATTGAAGTGAGAAATACTCTGTTTTAGCTAAAATTGTTAACTGCAACTGGTTTATTTTTTGGTATTAGTTTACCCCACACACTGGAAAAGCAAACACAGGTACTTTTCCTTTGTATGTCCTAAAGATGACTGACGTTTCTTCCTCCTCCTTCTGGTAGCTTTCAGCCGTGCCCCAATTCCGATGGCTGTGGTCCGCAGAGAGCTCTCCTGTGAGAGCTACCCCATAGAGCTCCGCTGTCCAGGAACGGATGTCATCATGATAGAAAGTGCCAACTATGGGAGGACTGATGACAAAATTTGTGACTCTGACCCTGCTCAGATGGAGAATATCCGATGCTACCTGCCAGATGCCTATAAGATTATGTCTCAAAGGTATGATACTTCTAATCTTTTTTTTGTGCATTTAGTATAAACTCTCAACATGAATCTGTGTGACATATTGAGGATAGGTAAGAATACAAATAGCATTGTATATTTTAGAATAATTTGAATTACTTTTTTGGGGCCCCTGGGTGGCTCAGTCCTTACGCATATGCCTTCGGCTCGGGTCATGATCTCAGGGTCCTGGGATCGAGCCCCGCATCCGGCTCCCTGCTCAGCGGGAAGCCTGCTTCTCCCTCTCCTACACGCCCTGCTTGTGTATAAATAAATAAAATCTTAAAAAGAAAAAAAAAAAAGAACTACTTTTTCAATTTCAAACTGGTTTCCCATATCACTAAAGTGCTGGTATTAGAGATTGAAAATGGCATTTGGAAATTATTAAAATTTATTAGATTAGTTATTCGGTTTCATGGTGTACTCTGACTTCTCTAGAACTGGGCTCAATAGATGAGAAATTAATTTATTTTTCACAGTTTTCAAAAACAGACTTTTGTAATTTTTCTCCAGAAATTTCAGAAAAATTATTTTACTGCTAATAAATATTTTCTATCAGTGTATGACAAAGAAGAAAAGTTAATAGGCAATTTTTATAACCATTAATCAAAATGTAGTAAAAGGCTGTTGATTAATGATTATTTGGCCTTGAAAAACAATGAAAAAAGTATTACTTTGTTATCTAGTAATATTCATTTAAGGTATTCACAATATTACCATATTCAAATAATGTAAATTAAGGTAATATATATAATATATAATATCATTGGATAAAGAAATGATCTTCAATTCTAAAGAAAATGGTCAGTGGGTATCGATATTATAGAAGGTTTAAATTATACTAAAATTTCTTGATAAATTGGCTAAATATTATTTATATATCTCTTAAATATTTGTTCAGTATTACTATGCTTTCTCAGAAATTAGTGAAATCATTCATTTACTATAAGCCTTCCTACTTTTTTTTTTTAAAGGTTTTATTTATTTGAGAGAGAGAATGAGAGAGAGAAAGAGAGCATGGGGGGGCGGTCAGAGGGAGAAGCAGACTCCCTGCTGAGCAGGGAGCCCGATGTGGGACTCGAACCCGGGACTCCAGGATCATGACCTGAGCCGAAGGCCGTTGCTTAACTAACTGAGCCACCCAGGTGCCCCGCCTTCATACCTTCTGACTATATGCTCACAAAGTAATTTTAAAATAATCAGTAAGTTACTTATTTAGTGAATTATTTTTTTCATTAGGATTTCTATTTAGCCAGTTATTTTCTTTTATTATTTAAGGAGTTCTTAAAATATGGGGGAAGTCATAGCATATGTAAAAATAAACAAATTCAAGTATATAAAATCACATACAGTAGTTCTCGAGGCTTACCTTTCTTGTCCTTGAGGAAGCCTGCATTGTTTTTAGCTATTTGTCTTCTTGATGCTTAAAATTCTGATATGTATGTTTGTGTGTGATTAATAAATTGATAGTATCTTATTTTTTATAAATTACTGTTGTATAAATTGTTAGTAGAAATTATAACGTGCCCGGTTTTTGATGATCAAAACATCTGAAGTATGCTTGAAGGATAATGGTCTCTCTGGGCAAATCTAAGGGCTTTTGTTTGTCTATTTTTAAAATGCTAACTCATGCTAAGGTGAATATTAATGAGAAATAAGATTTTAAAATTAGGGATTCCATTTGATGTAAGTTTGGTTGTGTTCGGTTCTTCTTGTGTGTCTCTTTCTTATCTCTCATTGTATGTCTCTTCATGTTATATATTTGACATGCCTCCAACTATGGTTAAATTCTCTGATGTTATGCCTAAAAGAAGTCTAATTACTTCATTGTGTGTAGGTGTTATAATGGTGTCTGTCCTGAGTGATTTTCCGTGTGTAGTATGAATGGGCACTATGACTAAATTTTTATTTTATTTTATTTGTTTCTGTCAGACCAACAAACAAAAATGGATTCTTTAAATCCATTCGAGGTGTAGGTTGAGGAGGAAATTCTGCTTTTCTGTGATTAGCTTTTCATTTTAAATGTAGCAGAAGCATTAACTTCACTAGCTCTTTGATCTCTTCATGATTTTCATTGAATTTGTTTTAATCCTTTTATTGATATTATTAATGGCTCCCAAAATAAGCCCTTAATATTATAATTATTACAAAAAATAGTTACAATGGATCCTCTCAAGCTGCTGAATTATATGGGATGTGTCTGTAAAGTGACAAATCTGAAGAGTAAAATTGCTTTAAGCACCCTGAGTGAATCATTTGTGGAAGCCCCCTGGTGGTTTCTCAAGTAAGAATTATCAGCTGAAATAACTGTGGTTAATTTTGTATGGAGGCAAGTTCCTTGGTTGTATTTGGACTGCTAAATATACTACATTTACACTTGTTCAAAATAAATGCTTTTGACTCTTAGAAGAAGTCAGGTTCCATCTTGTAAGTTCCTAAGAGATGAGATGGCCATGTCAGCTTCAGCTGCTTTATAATTAATGAACTTTCACTGTCCTGCGAGTGACAGCATGTTAAATAATGCTAATAATTTCTAATTATGATATAGACAGCTTAAATAATCCATTTGAATTAAAATTATAATGGGGGAACTTTTCTAAAAGATATATAGATAATTATTGTTTTCTCTCATTTAAAGTTTCAGAAAGACATTATATCAGTGTCTAAACATTTTTAAGCATGTCTCTAGATCAGAGGATTATATTACAAAATACAAAATGTTTTTGTGTATCCTTGTATAACCTCGTTAAACAGCCTTCATAACTTGCTTCAGCCTCATAAATTAGATGTTACAGGCAAGGACAGACATGAAATAGTATTCATGTAGATATTTGAATACACATTGAACAAATACATAAATAGAACCGTATAATAAAATGTTAGTTATGTGTGAAAAACTGGGGACTTGAATCTAAAGGATGTGGCACTTGATTTCCATGTTTCTCCCCAGTAGAACTTTGAATCTGATACGTTCTCTAGAGTTGCCAGATTCCTCACTGTCTTGCCGATTACACCTCGTGTTCTCAAATCCAAGTGTGTTTTTACGCCATTTTGCCCTCATCACCTCCGAAAGTTCTGTGCTTTTCCTCTTCTTTCCTTATCCTGCTAGAAGACTTATTAAAATGTCAGAAAACATTTCCTTATCCTTCTTGGAACTTGTATTCTCACTCACTTGTTATCATCTGCATCCTTTTTTATTGCAGCTAAACATTAATAAACCTGTATTATCACACCCCATACAGTTGCCTTGTCTAAAGTAAATTGTAGGCTTTTAGAGGGCAGACTTTCTCTTGATTTTACCTAAAACTAACTTCTGATGTTTAATGATGTGTAAATGAATAAGTAAATGTGCTTTCCGATGGTGTCATGCCACTTTTAAAAGCTTTCTTAATTCTATGATCTGACTGATTTTTGTTTCTTTTCATTTTACATTTACACACTTCAGAGATTTAAAAAAATGGTACATATAGCTTTAGAACCTAAATGTGAAAATGACTGTTAGCAACTGATAACTGCAGAAATTTTACATTTTGAATGCAGCTGAGGTTTCATGTTATCTTCGGCTATTAATGGAAATATTTCCATTTTTAACTCCACCAACACTTGAAATTTCACAACATGGAGTGCACCGTGACGGCTCTGGAGTTTGGTGGATGAATAAGCTAGGCATGGTTACTGCCCACACACCGATAGCTTTTTGGCAGATAAAAGACAAACAGATTATTTGCTCAGTATTTTATTTTTATCGCATTTATGTTTATTGAGGAGTTCAAGAAAAGGAGGAAAGCTCTTTTGGCCAGATAATGTTAAAGAGTGTTCATTGGAGAGAGAAGGTTAATCTGGTCCTTGAAGGATGGCAGGGTTGGTGGAACCAGAAGACACCAAAGTGGTATTAGATATAAAATATATTAGATATATAAGATATATTAGGTATATAAGGCACCAAAAAGAACATGAGGGGACAGCTTCCCTTCAATAATCCCTCACCCAACCTCTTCTTATTCTTCAAAAGCTTACTGGTGGCTGCTCTGCACTATTTAGTTTCTCCAAAGCCTCTTTGAAATGTGCCACGACTTGAGGCGAGCCTCCCATCAGTCTCCCAATAGGTCCAGTTCACATGCTCTTAAGAAACCTTGATAATTTGATGATAAACTAGCTTGACGCTATCCCCCTTGTCAATACAAAGTCCTGTTGGAGTTCTTCTTAGTAGTTGGACATAAACTCCATCTAAATGTGGGAAGTTTGAATATCATAAGACTTCCTCATGCCGTCTTTTTGGACACATATTTTATATATGTGCTATAACAGTATTATTTTATGTAGAATTGCATATATTGTTCAAATTGAAAAGGCATTTGTGAACAGGTATATATGTATGTGTATATAGTGTACATTTATTGAGGTAATATACATATGGAAAATTGCTCTTATCATAAATATATACAACTCAGTGAATTTTCACAAACCAAGCTCATCCAACTGACAACCAGATGAAGACATAGAACGTTAACAGCATCTCAGATGTACCCCTTCATACTCTGCACCAGCCATTGTCCACTCCCGCCCCAAGTTTTGCTGCTATTGAGCCTTCTAATACCTTAAATCATTTTTGCCCATTTCATAATTTAAATACATGAATTCATATAACATATGCTTTTCAGTGTCTGCCTTCTCTCATTCATTGCATGCGTTTTTATATATAACATTACTGAAGCATTTTTATATACCATATAATCCACTTGTTTGAAGTATAATGATATTTTAAGTAAATTTACCAGTTTACCAAGTGATGCAGCATCACCATAAATCAGTTTTAGAGTATTTCCATCACCACATTAAGATCCTGATGCCCATTACTGGTAATCTCCATCTCCTTCCCACACCACACAATGACTAATACATTATCTGTCTACATGTCTATTCTTAATGCATTGTGTGTGTGTGTGTGTTTAAGATTTTATTTATTTATTTGACAGAGAGAAAGACAGTGAGAGCAG